GGACACAGCGGGCTGGGTGCTGGACACGGAACACTCGGTCGGGAGGGGGACGTTAGCCGGGCGGGGATCCCGCCCCCCCGTCCCACGGTCTAGCCCAGAGCAGCGCCTCAGAGGGCAGCACCCGGCTGCGGCCACGGCCTGCTCTGGGGCCCACGGCACCCCGCACTCAGGCCCGGGGACGGCTGCCCTGCTGGGGCCCCTGCTGGCCTCTGTCCCCTGGGGAACTTGGCTCCCCTGACACACAGTCGAGGGCCCTGTGGTTTGGGGACGTGCAGCCATGGCCTTGGACGGAGGTGAAACCCCTGGGGGCCGCGGGGCAGGGACCCACACCGCATTGCCCCGGTGGGTGGAGGGGGGGCCTGGAGTCACCAAGGGCTGCTGCTGCCCCAAACGGAGGCTTTAGGGTGCGCAGGTCACCGGAAGGCCGGCCTCACCTGCTGGGGCTGTCCGCGGCCACGCTCGGGTGGACACCACGCACCTGTGTCGCCACGGCCACGCCCGGGCTGCGGGGAGAGGGGGTGCCCGTGAAGAGGGCCCTGGGTGCCCCCGCTCCACCCGGCAAGGGGAGGGAAACAGCCCGGGGGCCCCACCTGCCCCATCGCCCTTTTTGTAAATGAAGCTTGGTCGACTCCCCGGCCCACGGCCGCCTCCGCCCGCGGCACAGCACCCAGGGGCCCCCGTGGGAGGTCGGCTGAGCCCGACCCGAAGGCCCTGCTCTGCCTTCCTCTCGGGGGCCTCCGTTTCCGGGAGGGTCCCCCCGTCTATTTTACAGGGAACGTTTGATTCCTGGGGAACAGGCCAGGTCAAAACAGACCAGGTCTGCGCACGTGCCCTTGGAGCCCCCTTGGAGCTGCCCCGGGCTCTGCGCCCAGACCCGCTCGGGACCCGCCTGCTGCCCAGAGGCCGCCCCGCGCCTTCCCGCAGCGGGGAACAGGGGAGCGGGCGCCGCCTGGTCACCTCCTGGGCTGTCCCCCCCCCCAGGGGCCTGCGCCCCACGACCCTCCTGACCGCACACTCACCGCAGAGCAAGGGTCCGGCGCAGCAGGCCCGGAGCTGCAGAGAGAGGCCGGGGCGCAGGCGGTGAGCTGCGGGCACCAGCCGGGGACCCCGCGCCCGGCTCGTCCTTCCCGGACCCCGGGTCTAGGCGCCACTCGCCAGGCGCTCGGTGAGGACGGGTCTTTCTGAACGTGACCCGCACGGCGCCACCCGGGAAAAGGGCCCCGGGCCTGCAGCGGCGCCGCTCGGGCCCCAGGGCCTTTGCACGTGCAGTTGGCGCTGCCCCGGGTCCCGGCCGCAGCCGAGCGCACGGCAGCCGCTCTCCGGGGGCGGGTCTCGGGCCGCACCAGCTCCCCCGCCCGCGGCCTCGGTCCCCGGCCCCGCCACCGCCGCGCCCCGCGCCCCGCGCTCACCCGCCAGCGCCGCCATGTCCGCCGCGGCCTTCAAACAACCTCTGCGGTCCGTCCGCTTCCGCGCTCCGGGTGCGCGCGGCCGCCTCCCACAGCGGCTCGGCCGCCGCGCGGAAACCGGAACCCGCGCCTGGGACGTTCCGCCGCGGGGCCTCCGCCGGCCGCGCGCCCCGCCCCCGCCGCGGCCCCGGGCAGCGGGTTGGGGGGCGCGGCGGGCGCGGCGGGCGCGGGGGCGTCTCCGCAAAAGCCGGGCGCGGCCCCGCCCTCTCCTCGCCCCGGCGGCAAAAGCCCAAAAGAGCGTCCCTGGGTGGGCTCGAACCACCAACCTTTCGGTTAACAGCCGAACGCGCTAACCGATTGCGCCACAGAGACGGCGCTGCCGCCCGGCGCCCCCCGCGGGCCTAAGAGGCGCGCGCAGCCCGGAAGTCGGCGGGGGCGGCGGGGGGCGGGACTCGGGGTAGCAGCGGCCCCTGCCGCCCGGCCGAGATAGCTCAGTTGGGAGAGCGTTAGACTGAAGATCTAAAGGCCGTTGGTTCGATCCCGGGTTTCGGCATCCGTTTTGGCGCCTTCCCAGAGCGCCGCCGCCTCGGCCGGGGGAGAGGGGAGGGGACGGGAGGGGCAGGCCGCTGGCTCAGGCCAACGTGGGGTCCGCACCCCCAGGACCCTGGCTCCCGCCCACACGTGGGCTCCCGCCCCGACTCCCAGTGATTTTTAACTGGTGGGATGGGAACGCTGCTCAACGTCCAGACCCGCATAGTGGGGAGCGCAAGGTGGTCGCCGCTTGTAGGCCGCTCAATTCTCGCAATGCTGCTGGAGTTTACACTTGGGGGAAACTGAGGCTCACACAGGCAAGCGCAGGCCCGCTGCAGGCCCCGAGCCCCGCACAGCCCGCCGGGCCTGGCTCTGCAGGAGCTCCCGGAGCCCTTCTGCGTTCCTTCCCGCCGCCCGCCGGCCTGTGCCGCCGATTCTCTAACTTAAACTGAGCCTTAGGGCAGCCCGAGTCACGGAGCACGTGTGGACGTGGGAGAGCTCCCTGTACCCAACGCCCAGCGCTCCTGTTAGCTCACACCGCGGGACGCGGCTGCGGCAGTTCTTGAACCAAACTGGGTCCCTTACCGAAGTCGGGGCTTTCTGCAAGTGCTCGGATTTCCCGAAACATCCCTGCGTGGAGAGTGAGGGACCCTGGGAACCCAGACCCCAGCCCCAGCCGCACGTTCAGAGGATGCGGCCCCCGGGCCACCTCTGCCTGCCACCTCCTGAGACCTGAGTCACCCAGCCAAGCTGCTCAGTGCGTTTCCAGTCCCACTGGAACCACGAGCGAGCATCTTCGGGCTGCCAGGTCACAAGAGGGAACGCTGGGGGTGGGGGGACCATGCACGGCAGGCCGCTCCAGCGAGGGGAGGCCAGGCGGACAGGGAGGCCGGGCGGCAGCGAGCCAGCTCAGGGGCAGCAGGGCCGTGAGTCGGGGCTGTTCCTTGTGTGCGTGGGCTTCCGAGGTTTCAGATTCTTACCCTGTATGTGAATTATTTTAAGATTTTGAGAGAGAGGACGCACGTGAGCAAGTGCACGTGCCCAAGTGGGCAGAGCAGGGTGGGGGTGCAGGGGAAGACGGAGCAGCAGACGCCCGCTGACCAGGGAGCCCGACTCCAGAACCCTGGGATCCCAACCTGAGCCCAAGGCAGACACCCAACCGACTGAGCCACCCAGGCGCCCCGTGAATTGGTTGTATTTTTCTTTGAATGTTTTAAGTAATCTCTGTGCCCACCGTGGGCGTCTAACTTACACTCCTGAGAGCAGACTGAGCCAGCTAGGCGCCACCCCCCCACTACCAGGACTTTTTAGAATCTGTTTTTATAGATACACAAAGACTCGGAGAGGAGCCAAGGTGTGTGCAAGGGCAGCTCCCCGGGTCAGGAAGCGGGGACGCTGGTGTGTGGTGACCAAGCCAACTTTAGGAGGAGCTTCTGCAGGGCCTTGGGGTCTGGAGAGGAAGCAGTTCGGAGAAGGAGTGGGCCCGGGGTGGTGGGACTCAGGGTGGAGGGGCCCCAAGGGGGCAGCAGGGAGGCCACACAGAGGCTGGCGAGCTGGAGTCCAGAGGGAAGGGGCAGGGGAAAGAGACAAGACTGTCATCAGTTTGTCGTGGCGGGGGCTCCCGGCATCAAGGAATGGGGTCAGCCCCCCCACAGCACCCAGGACGCCAGTCGAAAGACCCAGCCCGGTGCGTGCAGCGCCCAGTGGGAGAGCAGGGTAGGAGCCGGGAGTGAGGGGCGGGCCGACGGGAGCCTCGCGGTGGACAGGGCGCTGTGCCGGGGGCAGTGTGTCCTCCTGAGGCTACAGAGGCAGCCCGGCTGCACCTGCTTCTCCAGGGCCCCCTCGGGTCTGCCCAGCTGACCCCACACCGCCATGCGTGCCCCACGGCCTGAGGGTGAGCCCACCAGGATCCACAGTGGGCCGGCTTGGCCAGGGAAGCGAGTGGGGCTCCAGCAGCAGAGCCGGGGTCCCGCCAGAGCCAAGGGAGGCCGCAGGATGAGCGCAGGCCGGGGCCGTGAGCACAGTAGGGTGGGCCCACCTCAGGCGGAACCTGCCACGGGCTCACCCAGGAAGGGGCCGGGCCCATGCCGGACACTGGCAGGCTGTCCCCTGAGCAGGAAGCGAGCCAACGGCCTGGCTTTGGGCTCCGTGGTGGATGGAAACCCTTGTCGGTCTGTGATCTCACCTGCAAGCCTGGGGCACAGTGGCTGCAGGGCCCCCAAGGACAGTGCTCCAGCCCAGGAGCTCCCAGCCTGCCCTCCTGAGCCAGGCCCAGGCCAGGTGCCCCCAGCTGACCCCGGGTTTCTCGGCCCTCCGTGGGGCCCGGGCCTCTGCCCGCCAGCACCTCCTCAGGGCTCTGCCAGCCAACCTGTCCCTCTAAGTCCTCGCTGTGGTGGCTGCTGTGGGGGAGGAGCTGCTGGGGAGGGGGAGGGAGCCCTTAGGTAGCTGACCCGGGGGTCTGGGAATGAACCTCTGCCCCATGGACTTCCTGGACAGTGTCCCATCAGCTTAGAAGAAAGAATTCATTTGATGGAGGCTCTGACAGGCCCCAGAGTTCCCGGCTCTCCAAAGGCCAGGGTCCTGTGCTGCGGACCCCTGGGCACCGGGGTGACCCACCAGCTGCCTCCCGCCTTCTTTGGGCCCAGGCAGGAATGTGAACGCGGCCTCCAGACAAAGGCCTTGCTTCCGCAGGAGCCGGCCCGCGTGACACAGTCCTGTCCCTGACGTTGTGACCTGCAGCCGCACGCACAATGACTGCGGCCACCGTGGGTGGGAGGTCGCAGCCCCGGGGCCAAGCAGGAGCCGCAGAGCCTGGCCAGGGAGACCGCACTCAGTGCCAGGCCAGACGCAGCCACACACGAAAATCCCCACGATGGGCAGGGTGCGCTCGTAGGAGACTCGCTGCCCCCGGGGGCCGGGGGCCGGGGGGACGCCGTTCTCCCGCATGGGGAGGGGACCTCGGTGCACCGCGAGACATGGAGCAGCCCCGTCTGGCCTCAGGAGCACAGGCACAGGCGAGGGGGCAAAGAGAAAACACTCTGTCCTGCAGGAACGCATCCGACAGACTTTCTCAAAACTCCTGTTTAATAGTGGATACAGTGCTTTTTAACATAAAAAACCAAGTGCGCACCTTATATTCAACAATACAGTACAGTCACAGGTAATGATATGGAGCAAAATAAAACACGTTTTTGTTTCAAAAACCTTTCAGAAACAATACCTTCCAAAAAACCAGGAAAAGAGCACCCCCGGAGGAGAAGCGAGCACTTCCCAGGCCCGGCCCTGCAGGCAGGGCTCTCCCGCCACCGACCGGACCGGACCGGACCGCCGCGGCCCTCCAGCGTCAGCACCGCTGACTCCTTTCTTCTAGGAGCTGTTTATCGAATATTTCTTTTTCCCTTCAGAAAATATAAGGAGATAACGTCATTTTAGCGACTCATCATGCCTTAAAATATGAAACAGACCAGCCAGTGCTTCCTGGGGACGGGGTCTCTGTGGGGGGAGGCGGAAGGTTCTGGAGATGGTGGTGGGGGTGGGTGTGCAGCAGGGTGAGGGTGCTCCATGCCCTGTGCTGTACGCTCAGAGACGGTTACGGTGGTGAATTTTACGTTATGTGCTTTTTACCACAGTTAAAAAAAAAAAAAAAGACTTTTTAAAGAGAATAAATTATGAAATTATCCTCACAGCTCCCGGGGAGACACCAAGGGACCCCCGGTAAGAGGAATGGCATTCCCAGCGCTTGGGGAGCCACGGCGACAGGAAGGCGACGGTAACCACGATCGCACGGGCGCGAGGCTCCGCGGAGACGAGGGGGGAGCAGGCGAGCTCGGTGGGGGCCACAGTGGCCGCCCCCACCGGGGAAGGGCACACCCCTGGCGTCAGGGCAGGCAGCCCGCCACCCCGCAGCGAGGAGCAGCGGCAGCGCCGGAGCACAGGCTCACCTGCGGGACAGTCCGGCCCGTCCCCAGAGGAGAGCGCGCGGCGGGGGCCGAGCACGGCGCCAACCCCGCTCCCCCACCAACACCGTCCCGAATCCGTGTGTCGAGGGACCACCGCGACGGCCGTGGGACGCTTGGGGGCCGCCTGGGAGCCGCTGCCCGGCACCCGTGACAGCGTGCCCGGCGGGCCCCGGAGACCCGGCCCGCGACCCTAGTTGAGTCTTCAGCCTGTCACCGGCACGCGGGCCCGGCCTGTTCCCAGCGCGGCTGGCAGCGAGCCCAGAGACGGGATTAGGGGCGCGGGGGCGCGGGGGCGCGGGCCCGGGGCTAGCGGCCGGCCGAGACGTCTTGATCACGGCATTCTTCTCCCCGGCTCCCGGCCGCCCGGGCGACTGCAGCGTGTAATGTTTTCTCAAACGGCCTCGGCGCTGAGGCGAGGGGCGAAGGCCCGAGACGCAATTGGCGGCGCCGGCTGAGGGTGACTGGCGCGGCGGGCCCGGCACGCGCCCGGGGGCACCCGGAGGACGGCACGTCGGCCGTGGCGCGCCCGGGCTGCGGTCCAGCTGCACCTGCTCGGGTGGCAGGGGGCTCGCCAGGGACCGTCCCCACCGGCCTCACTGGGGCCTCGGCAAGTGCCAGCCGACAGCTCCCGGCGCCCTTGAGCGCATGCAGCGTGTCCCCCCGCCGCCACCCGGGCCGGCGTGTCGGGGAGGGACCTCCACCGCGGCCACGGGCGCGAGGGAACGCCAGCCCCTCCGCACACACCGCCGCCGCCTTGGGAGCGGCGCCCTGAGCAGCCTACCGGTAGCCGAGGGACGGTCCCCTGAGGTACTTCTCCTCGGCCGTCTTGTAATCCACGGCGTCCACCGCCGCGATAGCACAGATGATGGCCTGCAAGGGGGCAGAGGGCGCTCAGCCGAGGGCAGGGCCGGGCTGCACGGGGAGCTCAGGGCTGCGCGAGGGCCCAGGACGGCTCTGCCTGAAGGGACACGTCCCGTGTCAGTGACCCAGGCTCTTGGATGACACGTGAGACTTCGTGTCCCCAGAACCCGAAAAAGGCACGGGACCGAAACCAACAAGCCCACTCGTGAGCATTCCTGAGTTCACTGTTCAAACAACCGGAAAAATACATCATCTGAGCACAGAGCACGTCTGACGTTGAGGAACCCTTGTTTGTTTCTTCAGAAGCAGCAGCAGAACCCTGGTCACTTCCGATGTGATTTTTTATTTTCTGAATATTTATTCATTTGAAAAGAGGGAGGAGGGGGACAGTGTACAGGAGGCGCAGAGGCAGAGCGGGAGCCCAACGTGGGGCTTGATCCAGGACCCCGAGATCGTGACGTGAGCTATAAAGGCAGATACTTCATGGTTGGAGCCTCCCAGGCACCCCTGGCAAGTGCTTTTAAAACCCCCCCATGTGGGGACACCCAGGGGCTCAGCGGTAGACCGTCTGCCTTCGGCCCAGGGCATGACCCCAGGGTCCCGGGATCGAGTCCCGCATGGGGCTCCCTGCAGGGAGCCTGCTTCTCCCTCGGCCTGTGTCTCTGCCCCCCCCCCTCCGTCTGTCTTTCATTAATAAATAAAATCTTTAAAAAAAAAAAAAAAGCTTAAAAACAAAGAAATAGAGGCTTCACGGTCTAGAACAGAGCTCACTCCCTGCCCCCTCCCCCGGCACTGCTGACATCAGGCAGGTCAGTTAGGAGGTGACCCGGCACCGTGGAGATCCAGTGGCCTCTGCCCCCCACAGCAAGAACCACAGCCATCCCCACACGGGACCACCCCTTCCTTGAAGACACACACTGGAGCACCCAAGCATGAAAAAAATGTTTGGGAATTCCCCCCCAGTTATCTGGGGGAGGGAGCAGGAGATACAGACAGAGGTCACCGATCCAAACGGGTGTCGGGCACAGAGGCTTCCAGACAATACTTTCCCTTTGTACGTATTCGAAAGCTTCTTGTCACAAAAGGAGAGTTTTTGAGTCGGGTAACTCCTCCTGCACACGCTCCTGCCCCCTCGGACCCTGAAAACCAGGGATCCCGTTGTGCTCCCGCCAGCCGAAGCCCGGCTGGGCCTCCGGGGGATCACGACTCCCTTGCCGCCGCCACATCTGTTCTGCAAAGATTTCCACGTGCACATGGCTTTCGTGCCCCCGGCCTGAGGTCTCAACACTGGGGCCCAGTCACCCTGCAATGGCCTCGCGGGCGGCCCGGGGCCCTGGCCGCAGCCCCCATCCCACCTGCGGATGGGCTCTGGCCACCACTCACTTCGGGGAGCAGGACATCCAGGATGAACCGGATCCTGTCGCCATTGACCCGAGCCAGCGTCCTGCTGCCCGTCTCCTGGTAGACGCCCTGCAGGTACTTCACCACCAGGTCCAGCTGCTCCTCGTCCTCCAGGTACGTCTCCACGCATGTCATGTACTGACCCGAACTCAGAAACGTGTTCAACCACCGGGACGGCTTCCTGTTCTTCAGGATGGCCCGCAGGTGGCCCTCGGCGCCCCTGGCTTTCACGATGTATTCCACCAGCTTCTGGTTGGCGCGGTCCCGGGCGGCCCGGGAGCGGTCGGGGAGGACCTTCCTGCAGGGCTGCCTCCTCCCCTGGGGGCTCCCCGCCGCAGGCTCCTCGGGGTCCTCCTTGCTCAGCTGGGGGAACCTGGTCCCCAAGACGTCCTGCTGAATGGACTTGCGGACGGGATAACCTGCGGGGGAGCGACAGGTCCGTGGACGGCCGGCCTGTGGGGGGGCTCCCTGCGGCCTTCCTTTGCTGCGTCACTGGGGGGTGGCCCAGGGAGCACCGACACCCCCACCTCCACTCCTTGATGACACAGGGCAACAGGCTACGGGGTGACCATCAGTTCACCCAAAGCTCGGGCGGCAGAGGGCAGTCAGGGCGTCCCCAGGGGTCTAGCGTCAGGCTGGGGACACGGGGCAGCCTGCACCCAGGCGCACCCCCTCCCGAGCGTCCCACCCCCAAGAGGACTTGCCGGACTCACTGATGTCGGCAGCGTAGTATTCAAGGAAAGAGCCAGCAAAAGAGCCACAGCCTGCAGAGAAGGCACAAGGACAGCCGTGTCACAGCGTCAGACATGGCGCCGGAACGGCCCCGCGGGACGCTGGGTCACACGACTGCCTCGTGTCTGCCCCACCCGGACCCCTGTCCACGAGGGCCGACGGCACACCTACACCAGCGCCGCTGTCCGTGCCACATCCTGGGGGCGGCTACACACCAGCTCGGACTCACAGCGAAGTCTGCCTTCCGTTCACACGCCGCGTTTCAGCCCTCGCCTGCGTGTCTGCCCACCTCCCTTGCTGGGGACAAGCCTGTCGCGGGCCACAGGCCCACGCTCTGCCCCAACCCGGTCCCCGTGTCCAAGGCCGCACAGCCCCACGTACCGAGCCGGACCCTGTAGTCGGTGATCAAGGAGACGCACCAGCCGATGGCCTGGTCGAAGTCCTCCTTGGCCTCATTCTGCAACAAGACGCAGACAGCAGGGGTCAGCAGGAAGCCAGGGGGGCTCTTCCAACCCTTCCTGGTTCCTCGGGTCCTGCGTCCAGACAGCAAGCCCGGGAGACGCCCCCGTGCGGGGCTGCTGCCGCCACATGTGCAGATGCACACGGAGGCCCGGGGCTGCGGCTGGCGCTGCTCACAGAGCCGTCACGGGGGAGCTGAGCGCTGTGGGGCGGCAGAGCGGGGGCCCTAAACAGGAAGGAGGCAAGCATCCCAACGTGGCTGACGGTGCCCGGAGAAGACTTCAAAGTCGTACAAAACAAACCCTTCTAAGAAGAGTCTTTGTGTCCTTGGTTTAGAACGGCGTCGGCTCGGTCGGAAGTTCTGTCCTAGGATGGAAGGACGCTACCGGGGGGGAGGCCCAGCTGGGCCTCAAGGTCCTCACCTGCCAACGGAGGACAAGCCCCCGCCGGCCCCGTGAGGACCGGAGCTGGGACGATGGCCCACTGGCCCGATGGATCCCCCCTGCGTCACCACCACCCCAGCCCAGCCCTCCTCCTGTCGTCCAGCACTAGTCCAGCACGCGGCAGGTGCGAGCTGGGGACAGCAGCTGGTGCCACTCCTCGCTCAGGAAGGCAGAGCTCAGAGCCATGACCCCGACGGCCCTGCCGCCCATCAACACCACCCAGGACAGTACAAATGGCGGCTCCAGGGAGAGGCGCTCTTGCCACCTCCACGGCCCCTCAGTGACCTAGTGCACCCCACTTCACAGAGGTGCCTGACTCTTCTCAGGGAGCAGGAAGTCGGGCAATAGGCATCGTCCCAGTGTCTGGATTACACGAGGCCACACGCCGTCTTTGTCGTAGAACAGTTCTTTGTGTCCTTGGAACACAGACCTCAGAGCAAGATTCCTGCCGTCCTGACAAGCCCCCACCCCACCCCCACTCTGGGAAAGCTATCCAGATCCCCGAGAACGGCCATGGGGTCAGGGCCGGCCACCGGCTGGAAGGGCGGGCGCCCAGCTGGCGGGCTTGTGCTTGCCACGGCTGGCCCTCTTGCAGAACCGGGCTCTGCTCACGGGCACCCTGATGGGGACTGGGCGCCCAGCGCAGGCAGCTGCTTGGAAGCTGCTGTGAACAGACTCACAGGCGGGGAGCAGGACCACGTCACAGGGACACGCACGCCAGGGGAAGGAAACGAAGGCCGGGGTCCAATGTGGGTGCCCGCTGTGCTCAGGGCCTTCACATCAGTCCACCAAGAAGGTGCCCCATGACACGAAGCCTGGAGTCCGCTCACCGGGCTGGGACAAGAACGACCCCCCCCCCCCACCGCCACGGGCTGGGTTTGCAGCCTGAGAGCTGTTATCCCACACAAAGCACCTCAGGGCTGAACAGACAGCTGACGAGCGGACACGTGCCTCGTGCCTCATGGGCTCGGCCACTGGCCAACGGGAAGCCCTCGTGGGGCGCCATCGTGGCCCACGCGGCCGAGCACCTGGGTCCCCCCACACGCGTGCAGGCCTGCTGTGCCCACGCCCTGTGCAGGGGCAGCCTCCGGGCCACCGCGCGCTTCGAGGAGCGGGCCTGCACCTGGGCAAATCATCCTCTGCGCCAAAAGCCCGACTCCCCGGGGGGTGGCGGGCAACTTCCCAGAAGAAAGAGCTGGAAGCCGGGCCAGCAGACCACAGCCACCCAGGCGGCCGCTTCGCACGGGCACCGACAGTTCACCTACCAGAAGTTCTTGTTTCTCTTTACAGTCAAAGTGCTTCAATCTTTTGAGAGACACCGTGATGCTGGAAGCAGAGAGGGAAGGTTAACATTAAGCAACTACATCTTGTGACCCAAGACGACGTTTTCCTTTCCTCTGATGGAACTAGGAGGGGTGGCGGGGGCCTCTGCTCCACCAGCTGCCGTGGAAGCCCCCGAGACGGTTGCTAGGGGATGTGGCTGGGGCCACCATGTGACTCACACACACCCCTGGCCATGCGTGGGAGGTGGAGGCAGCACCCAAGGGCCAGAGGCTCTGAGCTGTGTTTCCAAAGCACCCTTCGAGCAGACAGGCACGTGCGTGTGCATATTCACCCCGGGATTAAGTGGTTAGAACTAACCAAAAGGCAAAACAGGTGGAGGCAGGGTCGCCGCTCACAGCACCTGCGACCACCAGAGTGTAGCAGAATTCGTGGAGAACGGGCGGGATCCACTGAGCGTCTGACTGGGCTGCCTTTCAAAGGCAGCACATAAAGTTTTGAAAACTGGATGGTCTGGGCAGTCCGTTTCAACACAGCCCTGTGTGGATTCTTCCTCCAGGGAGCGGGATCACAGGGGCACATGAGCCCGACCAGGCCCTGGACCCCAGCCCCCTCCCGACCGTCCCAGCACCCCCGAGCCAGCAGGCCTTCCCCGGGGAGGCATTTGCAGAGAGCAGATGGCTGGGTTACCCTCTTCCTTTTGGGTCCATGTGCCCCTCGATAAAGAGCACGCTGGCTTTCTTATCTCTCCGCCTGACGCTCTTGACCTGTTGGCAAATCGAACAAAATAACGCATCAAAAACTCAGAAGAGATAAGGCTTTTGAAATACCTCCCTGACAAGGTGGCACAAGGCTGGCGTGTGATAAGGAATGCTGCTGGCTGGGGGTGACCAAGGCAAAGGCCCCGGGTCAGATACTCAGACACCTCCCTCGTCTGCTTCATGCCCCACTCTCACTGCTCACGTATGAGCAAGACCAGGCAAGATTTCGCTGTGTTTAATAGAGAACCACACTTACTGCTACCTTTGCACACCTGCGACTCTCCCCTGGCCTGCCCTCATTTTCAATATCAACGTCCTCTATATCAATATTTAGTATAGTACCCACTCGAGTGGTGATACAATAACCACTTAACACTAGCCCTGAGCAAAGTGAGCTCAGGCAGGTGGGACAAGCCAAGGATACAGAGGCAGCAGTGCCTGACTCAGAGCAGCCTCCTCCCTGCCCGGTGCCCGTGTCCCTGCTCAGCTGTAAACCAAGAGCTTGCCCTAGGAACATGCGACCTTGGAGATCCCTTACCGAGCAGGGCCCCCAGGGGAACTGGTAAAAGTAAAGAATGAGGAGAGGTCCAGGAAAAGGGTGACAAATGTGGGTGGACACGAGCGCCCGCCACGAACGAGTACTGAAGGCCGGCCAAGGGACCCCCCAAGTGGTGCTGAGACACTACACAGAGACACCCACTTTTCTGCACGTCTGCTCAAGCTACACATTATGCCCAGCAACACTGCACGGGTATCAACCCCACTGTCGCTACAGCCAATCTGTCCCATCCAAGGAGGCCAGGCTGCCCTGCTGAGGGTCGGCCTCACGGCGACAAGAGCAGCGTCTTTGGATCCTACTGGTACCGTCCCAATTTTAACATCACTGTCTCTCACTACAAGGTGAAGGCCTACAGCTGGAGCCAGGTTGGAGGGGGATAGAGGAAGACACTGGGTTGAAGAGGGGAAGAGCTGGCCTGCTGCCTTGGCCTAAAAAACAGACAGCCTGCACCGTCCGGGCACACCAAGAAGGCAGAGCCAGGAACTATACGGCGCTGTGGCCCACCCACCGCACACACACGACCAATCCCTACTATAAAACCTGAACAATTTAAAAGCTCCCTCAGGAGAAAGTCTGAAGTGCCCGGTATTAGAAGCCAGCAAGGTGCAGACAAGTTCTTAGGCGGGTTTTCCTGAGCCTGCTTGCTCAGGATCGGACCTCGGAGCCTTAGGCTCAACTACACCAAAATGATCGAACTCCCCTTACTCAAGTCAATGTCTCCAAAAACCCTGCTTAGATGTTCATCCCAGCACTGGTTTTTCCCAGTAAAGAAATTTCCTGGGTCCAGCTGACCCGAACGGGGGGCGAGTGAGCAGAAGTGCGGGGCCTGCAGCCAGGTGCCAGAGGCCACCGGTGCTTACCACCGCCGGCCAGAACGGGTATTTCTGGTGTTTAAGCCAGACCAGCATTCCAACTTCAAAGGAGCGTGGTTCTAGAATTAAAAAGAAAGACAAAAAGACGAACAGCAAGTCAGATCTGCATCACGCACCAAATGCAACTGAAGAAACTGCAACTGTCAGACGGCATTTAAACCTAATACTCTCATCAGAAGCCCCGACTTTTGAAAGGTAGCCTCGCAACAACGCTGGCACCTGAGTGCCGGGCATGTGCGTGCTGCTGAGCGGAGACAAGCAGCCCTGGTCAACTGCATACCACCTTTGCCCCTATGGTGTAAATCTCAAATTATTCCAGAATAAAGTATTTAAAAAAATAAAATATTTTTTAAAAAGAGTGTGGCACAGGGGCGCCTGGCTGGCTCCTTTGGTGAAGCATCTGCCTTTGGCTCAGGTCATGACCCCAGGGTCCCGGGACGGAGCCCGGCATCGGGCTCCCTACGCGGCGAGGAGCCTGCTTCTCCCTCTCCTCCTGCTTGTGCTTTCTGTTAAAAAAAAAAAAAAAAAAAGTGTGGCACAAAAGAACCAACTTCCCAGGAAATTCAGTCTGAAAAACTGAGCTTTATCTTAAAAGGGGGGGAAAAAAAACCACCAATTACTAAAAATCATCTGGTAATGAATTTATGAAAAAAATTTAACAAGATTTCCAACCAAACACAAAACTCCAAAACAGATCACTTAAATGTTGAAACAATCAGCTAACAAAACCTCGCAGACACGAGGCTGCTTTTCCAAGCAGAACCAAGACGAGCCCTGTTCCAGCAGCGCCCCGGCGGCCGGCGAGGCGAGGCGAGGCGAGGAGGCAAGTCTGCAGACGGGCGAGCGCCCGCAGAGTGAGCAAAGGACCATCATCCATCTGGTGAGAAGCGTTCGGTTTTTAAGAGAAGCGTCAGGGCCCCGTGAGGACAAAGAGGTCACAGGTAAGGCCTCCACAGACATGGGGGGGGGGGGGCGGCGGGCGGGGACAAGACAAAATCAAACTGGAAGCAAAAAACCAGGGGGATTCGAATGCACACCTCGGTTTCTCCTGCCCCTCCCGCCCTGCTGGCAGCAGCTGGGAGGAAAATCCTCTTCCGGGAGAAGCTGGGGGACCCTTCTCCAGCCGAGCAAGTCCGACTACTGGGAACTGAGCCTGCAGAGCTTTCCCAAAGGTACACACCAGGCACACCGGGGCCCCACAAGGCGTGCATCACTCTAGGTACCTGATGGCCAGGGAGGGCTCGGTAAGGAACAAGCAGTTCCCCAAAGAAATCAGAAGACCGTGAGCCAGTGTAAACGGTGTCGGGGTTATCACTGAGGGACAAAGGGGCCAACGCATAAGTGTGAGCACGCTGATAGACCAGCCCGCAGTCGGCGGAGGAACGAGTCCCATGGGCACACCCTGCTCACAGCGCCAGAATCGGCCCCCTGAGGCACAGGGGGTCACCCCTGGAGGAGAGGCCCCCTTTCCATGTACTGTTTTTGCCACATCTTGTGAATATATAATTATTTCATGATGAAAATGCTAAAAAAATGCCACACTGGGATGCCTGGGTGGCTCAGTGGTTAAGTGTCTGCCTTCAGCTCAGGGAATGACCCTGGGGTCCCGGGACTGAGTCCCCCATCGGGTTCCCAGCAGGAAGCCTGCTTCTCCCTCTGCCTCTCTGCCTCTCTCTTGGTGCCTTTCATGGATAAATAAATCAAATCTTAAAAAAAGAAAAAAAAAAAAACACCACCACCAGATTACGTTAAAAACAAATGGTAAGGGATGCCCAGATGGATCACTGGTTGAGCGTCTGCCTTCGACTCAGGGAGCCTGCTTCTCCCTCTGCCTGCATCTCTGCCTCTCATGAATAAATAAATAAAATCTTAAAAAAAAAAAAAAACAGTCAATGGGAAAGTCTAAAGATGAAATTCATTCTCAGTGATGTAGCCCATGACACAGAATAACTTGCTGCCGGCTGTTGGTTCGGGATCTGGGTCATCCTCCTTCAAAGAGGGCCGCGGGGGCACACACCTGCGCACGTCTGCTCTGGCTCGGACTGCACATGTGGGAGGGGGCCCCAGAGCCCCGATGCCCCGGGCCCAACAGCCATCCCCAAAGATGCAGAGGCAGCACCAGGCCACACCCGAACGGTGGCGACAGGACCCAGCTCTCCACCCGGCTGTCCTGCCTTCCCACGGAGGGGACAGGACAACATATAATGGGGGCAGCGTGCTGGCAGGGAGGGCTGGCCACTCTCCTCCCAGGGAGGCCCTCTTCCCTTTGTGTGATTACCCTTTAGACGAAAGACAGAAAACACAGCACTTCTGAAGTTGTCTGTTCAGCAGAAGGAAAATGAAGCGGCGAGAGGCCTTTGGCTGAAGCCGCCTCTGCCCAGGGCTCACCACAGGCGGACGCACACACTCCTCGGGCTGCTTCTCGAGACTTACCGTGATATAAGAGGATTCTGGGTGGCTCCTCATCATCCTCATCTTCCTCCAGGATGGAGTGAATGGGATTAAACTCCATTGAGTCTCCGGAGGACTGTCGGTCTGCCAATGATGGTAGATTAGACTTTCACTATCACCATCTCGGGAGCTCAGCCCAAGGAAAACATTCCATGATACGGGACCGTTAACAAAGATAAAAGATCCCGAGTCACAGACTCACACCGCCAGATTCCTATCAGGTACACTCTGATTAAAGTACGCTCTGCTCGAGAGACAACTAAAGGAGAGGCAAAGAGGGCGAGGGACCCAGGCTGCCGCGTCTAGACGCGAGGCGAGTGCACAAAGCAGCGACCTAGGCAAGCCGAGGGGACAAGGGTGGGGAGAACAACTTCTAGGGCCCACGCAGCGCTGGGGACACGGGGACAGGGTGCGACTCATTCCCCGCAGCCTCTGCACCTGCTGGGACACGGAGTTCAAACACATGAAGCTTAAACTCCGGGCAGAAGCCCGAGCCCGCATGTGGCCAGCCCGTCTGGAGGAACCGAACCCCACAGAAACGAACAGCCCTCAGTCAGCATCCCGAGTAAGAGGGAGATGGCGTCATGCAAATGCAGAGCCACAGGGCAGGACTTCAACCACAAAAGTAGGTCTCCACGGGCACCTTGAAAAAGTCGGGAGCCTTCCGAGTGAGTTAATCACTCCCGAGACAACTGCCCGCTCAGGGGGAGGCCGCCGTGCTGCTGCGCCGCCGCTCCCCATCAGAGCCGTCCCGGGGCCGCGGCCCCCAGGCTCGTGCCCCACGGCCCCTCCCGTTCAGAACAAAAAGCGACATGAGGATTCGGGACTAGTTGGAAGTAATCACGACCCGGTGGGAGACCTGGCTGGAAAGGAACCAGGCAACCTCTGCTCTGCCAGTATTTTGATACGATCTCATTAAGAGCAGGTCAAAAAACACGAGTGCCTGACCCGCGTCGGCCACGGGAACCCAAATCCACCCCGCCAGCACAAGCGACTCTCGGCCACAGACCTTTACCTTCCTCCACCAGGCTGTGAAGATTTGTCTCCTCTGTGGAAGCACAGGGGGCAGGCAGGCCGAGTTTGGCAGCGCTGCGCAGAGTCATGCATTCCTGGGGCCCCTGCCTGGGGCATGGTGCTGCCCCCGGCTCCAGCTGTGTGGCGGGCAGCCTCTGGCTGCCATCTGGGCAGGGCCGCTTGGCAGGGCGGCCTCGGGCATCTGGGCAGGCTGGGCGCCCCGGGGCCGGGGGCACCGCAGGGCCACACCATGGCAAACCCGGGTCTTCCCCTTTGGCGCACAGACCCTTCTCCCTAACTCTGGGAGGTGAGCCCGAGGTTGGCAGGCTGCTCTCTTTTTCGCCATCTCCCCCCGAGACTGAAAGTGCTCTCTGACACAAGCTGGGCTCCTGCGCTAGATTTCTTCCCCTTTTATTCGGGGTTGTCCTACTTCTGCAGCACGTTCTCGATCCACCACCATCCTGAGAACCACCTCTGGCTGAGGGGACCACCAAGGCTTGGGGGCTTCCACTTTTCCCGAGCTCCTTCTTGTGGTCCACTTTGCCCTTGGGGTCCTTTCGACAGGTGGGTGAACCTGACAGCCTTGAGTGTACACGTTCCCTCCTCTGAGGTCCAGAACTGCTCGGCACATCTTCCGGAGACAAGAAGAGCTGGGGTCACAGAGCGAGGAGGCCAGTTCCGTGGGCTTCTCTCGTGAGGACAGAGCAGTTCTTTCTTCCCTTGAAGAGCTTTCTGGAGGCAAACCGGTTCTCTGGTTCAAAATATCCAAAGCCACTCGGAGTGAGCGTCTGTAGGCCAGCTCCTCCAGGGGTTCAGCTGGAACCTCACCCTGGGACGCTGCAAGGATGGGAAGCAAACAAAGCCCGGTGAGACCAGACGCTGCCGTCAGGGCATGGCCACCTAGGGCCGACTCGGTCTTTGGCACCTGAAGGGAGGACTGACCCCTCTCAGCTACAGCTTTCCCAAAGGGGGACAAGGCCACAGAACAACAGCTATTGTCCGAAGCTGCGGGACTCCGCTTTTCTAAAAACAAACTGACTGACCCCAACCTGATCGGGTTAGAGATAAATCCCTCCAGGTCACAAAAAAATACTGCCGGCAAAATGTACTCAGACGCTTCCTAAATCCTCCCAGCCTCGCAGCTTCAACTTCAATCAGGCTCAATAAAAAGCCTTGCCAACTCCATAAAGAACTCCGCCGGCAACGTGTTCTTGGGTGGCGGCGGGGGCGAGGGCCAGCCGATGAAAGGGACCCATTGTGGGCTGCTGGATTTTCCGTACTTCTGTGCAAGGGCGTTTCAGAGCCAGAAAAGCGCATCACGGGCCTGGAGACTGCAGCCTGACCTCCTGGCTGCCACGGCCCTATTTACTCATCCGACACACCGACGCGGCACCATTTACGTGAAGGAGGTGACGGGTGCACTATCGCAACTCAGCGGGTAGGGCACCTCCATCAGCAGCCTTTTCCCTGCTTACTGGTAAAGGCCCTACGGACCAGCAGCCCCCGACGAGACCCGGGCAGAGGACGTGGAGCGTCCGAGAGGCGGCGGCTGACACTGCCTAAGGTGCCCGCTGGATGCCACGTGCACCAAAAGCGGTTTTTCTAAACACGTAGGAAAACGGACTCTGGTTTATGAAAGCCATGGAAAGACTCCTGGTCGATCTTTCCACGAAACTAACAGCTCACGGCACAGGGAGTATGTGTCCCCCCTGGAGCGGAAGGTCCTCCTGCTTAGTTAGGTCTGTCAGGCTGCCAGGCAAGGGCACAGGGCACAGCCAGCCCCGGCTACGCAGAGCTCAGCCCTCCCTCCAACCGAGGAAAAGCAAAGGAGCTGGGGGTCAGTGTTCCATCTCCAACCAGCCTCACCCCCACAGGGAGAGCGCCGGCAGACGATGGGCACCCGCCAACGATGCTGGTCACATAGCCCTTTCTCCCCGGAGCTCAGCTATGGAATTTAAACATAGAACTCGCTGCTCTCGGGATCCCTGGGTGGCGCAGCGGTTTGGCGCCTGCCTTTGGCTCAGGGCGTGATCCTGGAGACCCAGGATCGAATCCCACGTCGGGCTCCCGGTGCATGGAGCCTGCTTCTCCCTCTGCCTATGTCTCTGAGCCTCTCTCTCTCTCTCTCTCTCTCTGTGTGACTATCATAAATAAATAAAAATTAAAAAAAAAAAAAAAAAAAAAAAAGAACTCGCTGCTCTCAAACCCTGGGCAGAGAACGAACCAGATCCAAAACCCACTTTTACAGCCTTACTGTGGGACTGGGGCGGGAGGGGGGGTGGACGGACAGCATCTTCTGCCCTCGCCTCATGGAGGCAAAAACACACTGGAGGCCACGGGTGTGACCAGAGGTCCCAATGCTTGCGACTGACCATAATGGCAGTCGACAACAGGATCAGTTCTGGGGTAAATTCTGCAAAGGTCTAAGAAAATAGATCCCTTTCCTTCTCCTTTGGCTCAGGGTCACCTGGAGAGCAGGGTCTTTCCGTCTCCCACACCATCCCTTTGTCACTTAGGGATGCGCTCTTACCCAGGGAGGAAGCGATCCGTTCGATGTGTGCCGTCTTCAGGATTTCCACTTCTGTGCTTCTCACCTCAATTCTGCAGGGACAGAAACACCCGTTATCCGCTGCCAGCCAAGGCCACGGAGACGTTTTCAAACATGTTTTCCTTTAGATAACAAAAAAATTAGATTCATTTTCTTCCTTCTCAACCTTCTACTTTAACCAAAAGTCACAGCTTGAGGTTAGAGGCAGCAAGGACCCTGGTGAATGTGGCTTTTTTTTTTCCCCCTTTTAAGACAAAAAAGGTTGGTTGGATTTAAGAATAAAAATGAATTCAAATTGTGACTTTTATGAGGCAAATCCTACTTTCAACTGTACAAATAACTCCTTTGTTAGATTTTTCAGAGTAGATGATAATGTCACTAAAAACCTGTTTACAGCCCAGCAGGTGTGTTTTAGTTTAAAAGGATGTGCTTTCCTTTTAAACTCGAGCATTCAATTACCTTCCCAGCCGCAGGGAAAAGTGTGAGCTGGGAACTAAGCGAGTTTAGGAGGCCGCTCTGAAGAGGGACGGGGACCTGGGGAGGCTGGAAGTGCAGCTGACGAGGTTTTACTCTTTTTGAATTGGGAATTCTTCCCTTAGACACAGCAATACCACAATCATACGTGATCTGGGCATTTTAATCATCCCGAGTAATATTATGTCCTTCCACCTCCGGTTAAGCAAGAGCGAGAGAGTAATGCGCTTCCACACGATCATGTGTTTGCCTTCTGAATGCTAAACAGTAGCATCTTACTAGATGGGACAGGCTGAAACATCAAACATCTCAAAATTGATGGCCTGTCACTCAAGTTCCTGAGAAAAAGACACACAAACCCGTGGGAAGGAAACATCCCTACGTGAACCCCCAACAAGTTTCCCCTGCGTATGACTTATATTTATTCAATTCCTATACCGATCTCTCACACGGAGTACATCATACAGACCTTCAACTTCCAAACAGACGTTAAAAAAAAAAAATCCATTTTCCTTTTAAGGTTATCATGAGCACAACTCTGTTACAGTAACCGAAAAATTAATAAGAGCTTAAAAGCAAATTCACCTTCGGGGGAGGTGTGTGCAGTATCAGAAATCCGACTCAGAAAAAAAATAATAACATCAAGAAACCCCACAACACTTAACTTTTCATCTAGGGAGAGTATCTGAACGCTTAGGAAAACTCCTTTTTTTCTCTTATTTTTGGTGGACGTCTCAGTTCTGGCCAACACCTACGTTAAGGGGGAAAAAAAATTGTTACCGAGACCTGACGGTTAACAGAAAAAAAGAAAAAAAAAAAAGAAAAAACCACTACGAGCGAGCGACTGTAAGGATGGAAACGCAGCAGGTGATTCTTAAAACCTACAACCCCTGGGGACTCCAGCAACCTCCTGCCCAAACCCGTACTTGGAAGATGGGGAAACTGAGGCACAAGAGGTCAGAGGCGGGCGGGCAGCAGGCCCGGCTGTGCCTTGCAGTTGGGCCCGCTCCCCCGCTGCTTGCTGGAAGGTGTCCCCAGGGCACTGCCTGATTTACTATGGCAGGGCTGCCTTCCAGATACTCCCTCGAGCCACACGCCGCCCGGCGCCCCTTCTTAAGGCCGAACCGGTTGTCTACTTTCTTTTTCTTTTTTTTTTTTTTAATTTATTTATGACAGTCACAGAGAGAGAGAGAGAGAGAGAGAGAGAGAGAGAGAGAGAAGCAGGCTCCATGCACCGGGAGCCCGACGTGGGATTCGATCCCCGGTCTCCAGGATCGCGCCCTGGGCCAAAGGCAGACGCCAAACCGCTGCACCACCCAGGGATCCCTGTTGTCTACTTTCTATGCATGGACCAGACCAGGCGCTACTTCTGGAAGCCAAGCCCTGCAAGCACCAGGCCAGACACCCGGCTAAGCGGGGGCAGAGGAGCGGTGCCAAGTGCCCGGGCTCCTAGGTCCCCCCCACCCCCGGGGTCGCAATCGCGGCGGGACGACTGTCACCTTGGCAGGCCACAGGCGCTGCTCCCACCTGCACAGCACATACTGGGCCTCCGTCATGACTGGGACGCATGTGGCACAAGCGGGGCGCCGGCAGCTCCGACGCGGGGTGCCCTGCAACACAAGAGCACAGGGTGCACGGGGTCAGGGGTCAGGCGGGGCGGGGGGGCCCCCCCCCCCGCAGGCCCGACGCCCGCAAACGGCTCCTCCGCGGCCCCAACGCCCGGCTCGCACCGCCCCCCGCGCGGGCTGGACCGCGGGGCCCTCAAAGGACGGGGACAGCTGCACGCCCGAGCTCCGGGCGCCGCCCACAGGCACCCCGGGGGGGGGTCCAGGCCCGGGGGGTGCACGCGGCGGGGCCCGGCGGGGGGGGGCGCCCGCGGCAGGCTCGGCTCGGCTCGGCTCGCGCCCCGGGGCCTCCGCGGCTCGCCCCTCCCCCCAGGCCTGGCGCCGCCGCCTCGGCTCCCCGCCCCCGGCCCGCGGGGCGTAGCCCACAGGGCTCACCGGGCGCCCGGCCTCCGCAGCGCGGCGTCCCCGAGCCCCGCGCGGAGGCCGAGGAGGCCGCGGAGGCCTAACAGCGTCCGCACCCGCGCCCTCCCCGCCGCCGCCCGCGCCCGCGCTCACCGCCGCCGCCGCCGCCGCCGCCGCCCGCGGCCCGGGGGCGGGGCCAGCCTCGCGGCGCCCTCTAGCCCCTCCCCCGCCGCCGACCAATGGGGCGCGCGGACCCGGCCCGGCCCCGCCCCTTCCGCCCGGGCGGCCGGGCGCGGGCTTGACTGACGGGCGCCGGGCGGACGGGCGGGCGGGCGCGAAGCCGCGGGCGCCTCCGGGCGCTGGCACCCCGCCTCCGTGCGCCGCGGCCGGGAGAACCTTCCAGGCCTCCCGGGACCTCGGGGGCCCGAGGCGCCACGTGTTGCCGCGGTGCCCAGGCGGAGCCGCTGCGCGCACCCCGGAGGCAGGTAGCGGCGCCCGGGCTCGCGGCTCCGGGGGCGCCTCGCCTCTCCCCAGCCCTACGGCCCGGCGGGCGTCGGCGGCCCCAGCCCCTCGGCCAGGCGCGGGGGGGCCCTGACGGCGGGGGAGGGGCCCTGACGGCGGGGGGAGGGGGGCTCCGAGGGCGCGGGGGGGCCCTGACGGCGGGGGGAGGGGGGCTCCGAGGGCGCGGGGGGGGCTAGGAGGGGGCGGGGAGGGCGCCCGGCTCAGAGGGGGCGGGAGGGGGCGCGGGGAGGGCGCGGGGTCGAGCCCAGGGCAGGGGCGGGGCGGGGCGGGGCGGAGGGCGGGGCCAGAGGGGGGTGCAGGGGGGCGGGCAGTCCGAGTCCCCGGGAACCGCGCTGCCCGCAGGGGGGTGGGTGGGGCGCTCGCGGTGTAGACGCGCTCGCGGGTGTAGACGGCGGGGCGCGCTCCGAGCTGGGGGGAGCCTGCAGAACGGCGGTGCAGCGCGCCTTGGGGCGGCCCTGGGGGCTGCGGGTCCGGCGGCGGCGGCCGGGCTCAGCGGGCAGGTGCGCCCTGCCCAGCCCTCAGCCGGGCGTTTCTGACAGCAGCGCGACCTCGTCGGTGCCCGCCCCCGGGTGGCGGCCTCCCCTGGCGGAGGTGCCGCGCTCGAGTCCCCGAGTCCCCGAGTCCCCGAGCGCCCGTGGGCGGGCCGGGGTAGCCCAGCTGCCCGGAGGCCGGTGTGGACGCGGGTGAGCGCTGCCAGCGCGGGGAGGGCTCCACCTGCAGCCGCCCCGGGAGGTCCCCGGAGGTCCTGCCCGACCCGCGCTGCCGCACAAGTGAGCCTCCAGGTCGGTGTGAGCGTCGGGGCTCTGGGCCGTGTGCTCACGCTGCCCACCACTGCTTCAGGGCTGCGGGGACCGAGGACACCGCGCTGCAGGAGCTCAGTCTGAAGGAGATGGAGGATCCAGTAGCAACAGCAAGCCTCGGCGCATCGCAGGAACCGTGGCAGGTGGGTGTCCCCTTACCAGTCACCTTGGTCATCTCCCCCCCCCGGGCGTCAAAGCACAAGCCTGTTACCCAAAGCAGTTGTTGCCTCACAGCTCTGCAGCCTGGCCTGGGGTCACCCCGGGTCCTTCCGCCTTCCCCAGCTGCCACCTGGTGCTGGACTGCGCTGGGCTGGCTGGCGGGTCTGCTGGAGCTCGTGCACTCAGGGCTCCTCCGGCCTCCCCGGGGTGGCTCCACCCGCTTGCTTCCACGGGGTCGCCGGCTTCTGACGTGGCTGCTTAAGGTTCCCAAGAGCACAGCCCATCTTACAGACGTGGAACCTGGGAGAGAAGAACGTGGATTCGCTTGTCCAAGGCAGAGCTGGGATTTCTTTTTAAGGCTTTATGTTTATTTGACAAAGAGGAGCACGAGCAGGGAGAAGGGCAGAGGAAGAAGCCGACTCCCCGATGAGCAGGGGGCCCCACTCAGGGCTTGGTCCTAGGACCCCGAGCCTATAGCACGTGAGGTGAAAGCAGGCATGAGACCGACTGAGCCACCCAGGCGCCCCCGGAACTGAGATTTGAAACAGGAAGTCTAGCTCCAGAGTCCAGACTGTTAACAATTGTAGAACACGGGTTCTGACAAAGCTATTACAGGAGAAGTTCAGGAAACCACAACGGTAATAGGCCATTTTGTTTGTGGCTGGGGCTACGGGGTGGTGGGGTTCAAGGAAATGGCATTCAGTCTGAAAACCCGGAATCTGGATAGCCTGCGGACTGGGAGAGAATTTTCTGAGCTTAGGAGGCCGTGGAAAGGCCCTGGGGTGGAAGGCCCTACTTGTCACAGAAGTTAAGGGATGCCTGGTGAGGCCCGGAGCGAGGGGGGCGGGGAGCACACCTTGGGGCTTAACTGTGCTCTAGGAGGAGTTTTTGCTTCTAATCTATTGTTTTATCTCAGAGTAATTACAGATTCACAGAAGTTTGCCGAAGTAGTCCAGAGAGGAATCTCGTAGCTGTTCCTCTCTTTACCCCCGTGGTTTGTTTTGTGCATCTGAGATCCGGCGTCGAAACCAAGACGCTGGGGTGATTCGGTGGCGTGTGGAGCTGCGTGCCCACCACCCTAGTCAAGATACAGGGCGTCCCCATGTCCACAGAGCACTCCCTCAGCTACCCCCGGTAGACACCCCCCGGCGCCCGCCCCCCTGCCATCCCTCATCCCTGGGGGCCGCAGATCCCTGCTCCGTCTCTGATTCCGAGAAGGCTCCCCGAATGCAACCGTGTAGCACGTAGCCTTCGGAGCCCTCTTCCTACTCACGAAACTCCAGAGAGGCGTTGGGATTCTCACATGCACGGGGAGTGCCTTCCTCCTTGTCCGAGTAGCGTTCCACGCTCTGCTTGTGCCAGATAACCGGCCTTTTCTAAGGTCCCTAATATAGTTTCCTGGCATGAGAGTGTGGGCATTTTGGGTATTCTTGTGGCCCATGCAAGGGATCAAGGAAGAGGGGAGGATGTGGCCTAAACACTGGCAAAGCGCGACTGCCCTACGTTCCCAGATCCAGACATTCCCACGCAGCTATTCCTAGCTGCAGGCAGGCTGGGAAAGTTGTCTTTATTCTAGGAGCCACCTGCCCACTCACAGGGGAGGTTCTGCTACTCGGAAGAGAAGGGACATGGGAGGACAGCTAGACCCTGCCAGCAGAAGCTGTCCCCACCTCACCCCACAGGCGGCTGAGGATTCGCTGGGCCCTTGCCTGAGTGTCTTATATGGTGCCTGGCACCCCACAGCTGGGGCCCTGGTGGGCACAGAGGCTGGGGTCGACAGAAGACCTAAATCCTGGGGCTGGCCCTGCTCCTTAGGCACATCGCCGGCATCTCAGTTGACCCACTGTGAATTGGGGAGACCACGTTGGGTGTCTCTCCTGCGATCCTGCTCCTCTTACCTGTGAGCACTGTGGCAGAGGAGGGTGGTTTGTTCTCCACCCAGCCTGGGGGAGAAGCCTGGCCTTCCATCCAGTGTCTGTGGTGCACGGAGCCAGGTGGGGGGGCTCCGAGGGGTGAGGGTGACTGAGGTGGGCAGATGCCTCCCTGTGGGGCTGCCTAGTGGACTGTGCCGGGAAGCCCTGTGTAGACCAGAGCAGAGTCTGTTCTCAGGACTCTTACCCCACAGCATGTAAAATAGGGGGAAGGCTGCTGCTATGACTCTGGGGGGCTGAATAAACCCCAGAGAAGGGCCCCCGCACATCTTGGTCTCTCCTGCCAAGACTTCAGGTGCCACACCACCGGCTCTCATTCTACCTGCGTCCTGGCACAGGCTCTCACCTGCTCCGTGTCTTTGACGTTGCAGGGGGCAGAAGGCATAGACAGTCCCCGATGGCTCACAACCTTGGGCAATGCCCTCCCCTTGAGCGTGAGTAGAAGGGGTCGGTGCCGGGGTCGGTGTCACGGCTCTGGTTATGTGTGCTGGAGGTGAAAGGATTTTTTGGTTGGAAGTAACGTTGCTAATCAGTTGATCTTTAGTTCATGAAAAAAGAAATTATCTTGATGGACCTGACTTATTCCAGGGAGCCCTTTAGAAGAGGGACTGGGGTCCTCCTGAGGTCACAGGAACTGACCTATGGCCACGGAGAAGTGGGACACCGTGGAAAGGAATTGTGCCAAGTACCCTGTGAGCTTGGAGGGGCACCCCCGAGGGGCAGCACGAGCGCAGCCAGCACCTGGATCGCCACCCAGCCGCGTGTTCCCCGGCTCCCAGCCCACAGAAAGCGGGACACGAGGGGTGTCGTGTTAAGCCTCTAAGTTGGCGATCACTTACTACGTCGCAGTAGAAAAGCAGCATGGTGCCCCTCCGTCCGCCGCGGCGGAGTCCCCGCATCCTCTGTCCACGCTCTTCTCGGGCCCCCCTGCCCTCCAGAGGCCCAGTTCCAGGTTCAGCTCCCACATGGAACCCTCCCTGGGAGCCGGTGGCCGGTCCCCACCTACAGCATGGTGGTCCCTGGTGCGGTTGCTGGCAGTTTAGTTGTCCCTCCCGCCAGGACACAGGGTGACTTGCGCTTCCTGCCACGCAGCGCGCACATAGCCGTGACATCGGGAGCCTGGGTGCAGTGGCCAGTGGCCATTTGCCCTCCTCTCCTTCCTGCCCCCCCCCCCCGCCCAAGGCCAGGCCCAAGAGCAAGAGGACGGTGACGCAGTGGAGCCCCGCCAACCACGGGGACGAGGGGACGATCGGCGGCGGCGTAGGAGGTCCTAGGGCTGCTGTAACAAAGCGGTGTGACCTGGTAACTGAAAACAATAGGCACTCAGGGTCCTGTGCTTCTGGAGAAGTTGAGACCAGGCCGGGCAGGACTGGTCCCTGCAGGGACCCTGAGGGAACTGCTGTCCATGCCCATCCCCCCCCCCCGCTCCTGGGGGTGCTGGCAGCCTTGGGCTTGCGGACACAGCCCTCCTCTCTGCCTGCGGCTTCACATGGACGTGTTTCCTCTGTGTCCAGCTCCTCTCGTAGGGACACCCGTCATCGGCGTCGCGGCCCACCGTACGCCAGTATAGTCTCACCTGAACCGTTGGCAAACTTCCGCCGGGTTCCGAGGTTCTCGGTGCATCTGATTTTAGGGGGGACGCTGTACAGTGCCGTCCCCGTGGGGCGGGAGGAATGACCCTGTGTCGCTCAGCAATGCCGAGCTGCGGGGTGTTCCTTACGTCATGTCACGTTGCTGACTTACCCCGTGCGTGCCTGTCCTC